GCAGTACTCAAACTGACCGGAGAACAGGACTAAACCGGGTGTTGCTGGTGCTGGCTCCACATGAGGGTACTGGAGATGGGAAAAACGCAAGAACAGACTCTAAAGATCTCTATTATACAGTTACGTCAATAGGAGCCAGAGCGAGTTGGAGAAAAACTCGGTTCATGAACACTTAGCGATTGTGCTTCACTGAACGAGCAGGTTAGCATTGTCCATCTGTATGAGTGAGAGAAGTGACGATTGGCCTGTGCTGCATCTCATGTGAACTAATTATCCTTAACTATAAAGAATGCTAACTTTGTAAAATTTTCGAATGTGAGCGCTGGCTTCGCTCTCTCTGCTCCCTTCCCTGCACCCCCCCAACCCCCCCCCCCCTCAGCCGCACATGAGTAAGCAGTAACCTGTAACATAGACACGGGAAGTTCCAGGTTTGCCTCCACCGCTTGTTTACCTCAGCTGTCTGTGCTAACGAGAGACCTGTAGCTTTTCTCAAGAAAGCGGTGGCCAGTGGTCCGCTGTGATTGGTCAGAATCTGGTCCCAAAAAAAATTCTCTTCCGTGTTGAACGAAAACTCGATCTAAAATAAAATGACACGGCAGCACAAATCTCCGCTACTTATTCTTCAAAAGGACGTATATCCTAATGCACTGCATGGATATGGATTGAATTTTCGTAATGAATACAAATATAAAGTCGCAGTATGCAGCTTTAAGGTTTAATTATCCAACAACATAGCGAACCTTAGGTTGCAAGGTTTAAACAAAGCACTCTTAAGGGTAATATTTGCCTTTCTATGTTTGTCTGATGCACACCCCAATGAAGTTTTATTGCAAATGGCAATTAAATAGAATCAGAATCTGAATTTGTATCTTTTTTTTCTATTGCGACCTTGTTTTTATGCCCTTTCTTACAAAAATGCCACAGCCCTAGTGCAGTTCTAAGCGGGCATACTTAAAGCACACCTGTAACAGGAGCCAGGAGAGAGCCATATGGACGACTCTGGCTCAGAGCTGACGGGGGTGCAGGACTGTTCTGCAGGATAAAACATAGCTCTGGTTTAGTGGCTGCAAATATACAAAACGGCCAAACGCTTTTGTTAAAAGAGTAAACGAAAGCTTTAGTTTGTACCTGCTCCTCTGCACTGACCCACTGTGTCCAGTTGTGTCCAGTTGTGTCCAGTTGTGGGCAGAGGGAGAGGGTTGTTAGAGAGACCAGTCCACGCTTCATGAACTGAAGTCAAACTGCAGCAGCTGCTTCACCTCCTGTTACCTCCAACACAATGACCTCAGCTGCCCCTGGATACAGATTCAATCCATGTGCAGAATCAGAGACATGTTGGAGACCTATTGTAATACCATTTTATTATGTCATTTCATTCAGTTTTGTTTCACCTCTCCACAGTGGTTCATGTATTAAAAAACAGATCAGAGAACAGTTCGAACACAGGAAATGCAATGATAACAAACACATATGAGCCATTGGTCCACGGGGAGCGGGATGATCACTGTCCATAAATAATAACACATATCCTAAATAATCACTGTCCTTAGACCCTTTTGCATAAGCAAAGGAACCATTATGAAACCCAGAGGGAAAAATCTGTAGAACCAGGACTGAGGCTGTAGATCCAGGACTGAGTCTGTAGATCCAGGACTGAGGCTTTAGATCCAGGACTGAGGCTGTAGATCCAGGACTGAGGCTGTAGATCCAGGACTGAGGCTGTAGAACCAGGACTGAGGCTGTAGATCCAGGACTGAGGCTGTAGATCCAGGACTGAGGCTGTAGAACCAGGACTGAGGCTGTAGATCCAGGACTGAGGCTGTAGATCCAGGACTGAGGCTGTAGATCCAGGACTGAGGCTGTAGATCCAGGACTGAGTCTGTAGATCCAGGGCTGAGGCTGTAGATCCAGGGCTGAGGCTGTAGATCCAGGACTGAGGCTGTAGACCCAGGACTGAGGCTGTAGATCCAGGACTGAGGCTGTAGATCCAGGACTGAGGCTGTAGATCCAGGACTGAGGCTGTAGATCCAGGACTGAGGCTGTAGATCCAGGACTGAGGCTGTAGATTCAGGACTGAGGCTGTAGATCCAGGACTGAGGCTGTATATCCAGGACTGAGGCTGTAGACTCTGGACTGAAGAGAACCATTGATGCATGTAAGATCAAAACATGAGGTAAATGATCTGAAACCTCTTCTACAATTAATCTGTAATTACAGTGATGTATCAGGACATTCCATCTTGTCTGCAGACTTTGAGCTTCCAAATGAAAACAAATGGAGCTGCATTCATTTCCTTAAGTGCAGAGGCAGCGAGGGGCCCTTTTAACAAATCACCCACTTCTCGAGCACCATGGGGCCAACCGCACACCAGACCGGCACGTGCACAGCTCCAGCAGAAGAAGAGAAAGAGAATCATCCAATAATCAAATAATTGCGACCAACTATAGAAATGTGGATGCAGTAAACAGTTGGTACTGGGGGACAGTGGCTGAGTGGTTAGTGCTTAGGGTTTGATTCCACCTCCACAATGGGAGTTTCTCTGTGGAGTTTGCATGTTCTCCCTGTGTCTGTGTAGGTTTCCTCCAGCTGCTGCGGTTTCCTCTGTCACTAAAAGTACAATAGTTGTGAATGAACTGAGTGAATGGATGGTCATGTTCGGAAATTGTAGCGCGCCTGGTGTGACCTTTGTCTGTGAAACGTGCTGTATGAAGAAAAAAATTGAAAACCATTGTGCTATCCTCGGGTCAATGAGGTATCAACGAGGTTTTGTTGACAGCATTTGCTATAGTATTATATACAAACAAAAATAGGTGTGAAATTGTAGCAGCCATGATGGGACCCCTGTCTGTAAGGAAGTAGTGAATGTACACAGTAAGAAACTGTTCCACCGTTCACCTTTCACGGCTTCACTGTTCAAGGATTTGTGTGTGCAGTTTTACAATCTTTTTTTATAGAGTGTTTTTCATGCATATAACCACTAGTATACAGTTAGATTTACTTAAAATCTCTGGTCTCTCTCTGGTTTCTCTCTGGTCTCTCTCTGGTTTATCTCTGGTCTCTGTCTGGTCTCTTTTACTAGTCTCTCTCTGGTCTCTCTCTGGTCTTTCTTTGGTCTCTCTCTGGTCTCTCACTCTCTCTGGTCTTTCTCTGGTCTCTCTCTGGTCTCTCTCTGGTCTCTCACTCTCTCTGGTCTCTCTCTGGTCTCTCTCTGGGCTCTCTCTGGTCTTTCTCTGGTCTTTCTCTGGTCTCTCTCTGGTCTCTCTCTGGTCTCTCACTCTCTCTGGTCTCTCTCTGGTCTCTCACTCTCTCTGGTCTCTCTCTGGTCTCTCACTCTCTCTGGTCTCTCTCTGGTCTCTCACTCTCTCTGGTCTCTCTCTGGTCTCTCACTCTCTCTGGTCTTTCTCTGGTCTCTCTCTGGTCTCTCACTCTCTCTGGTCTCTCTCTGGTCTCTCTCTGGGCTCTCTCTGGTCTTTCTCTGGTCTTTCTCTGGTCTCTCTCTGGTCTCTCTCTGGTCTCTCACTCTCTCTGGTCTCTCTCTGGTCTCTCACTCTCTCTGGTCTCTCTGGTCTCTCACTCTCTCTGGTCTTTCTCTGGTCTTTCTCTGGTCTCTCTCTGGTCTTCCCGCAGCCCGCAGACCCTGTCAAACCTGGCTAAAACCAACAGGTTTGTTATACTGTCTATGGTCTCTTTCTTCAACAGTTGGGAGTTCAGATGATTATAAAAGTGTATAAAGTGTTTGTGTTTGAGTCTTAAAACATAGAGCTGCTCCTTCACGGAAATCACTCATGGGTTTTTTTTTAGAACGTAACCCCAGTGGTGAACCAGGGGCCAGTTTAGAGCAAAATGGAGACTTATTTGTTTTTATATCACATCTAAAAGCATGTGGTAGTGTACTTGTTTTGCAATATTGTAAAATGATCGATATAGATGAAGTTAGAAGAACACATACAATAATTTTGGTCTATTTCTCTGGCTGTATTCATGCTGCAACATTCCGTCATTAAAACAGCAAGCCCCCTCCTGCTGGGACTCTGAGGAGCACAGGGACTGGACTCCTTCTGGGGCCCAGAGTCAGGACTAAACATGGCATTTCAGATTAATACTGCCATATTCTGGAAGTCTTCTTGAAAATGTGAGATATGCTTCTACTCTGACAATGTTCAAATCCAGATACCCGTGCATGCAACTGAAACTTTGCATCTTCACTATTTGAATGCACTATAATGTAATAATGTATAATTATGATTTGAATGCCTTGTATGATCTTGTTTTGTTCTGCACTTTGAGTTTCCTTGTGTATTAATTGTGCTATACAAATAAATGTATCTAGCCTATTATTGGAAGTTTACTCTAAGGAGCACACTATAGTAATGAACGTGCAAGATTTCTAACATTTATCTTCTCCCAAAAAGTATTTAGAACACACAAAGTTCAGCTTGAAATAGCTTTTATTGTCAATAACGACGTCACAGTTTAAGAATTACAATATGAGTGAGGAACGTGGTATAAAAATAAAAATAAAGTGACTTTATGCATTGTCTATCACGGGGGTCTTCAACTCGGTCCAGCAGGTTTTCTTTCCAACAAATCAGGGGAAAAACCAAACTCCACCCATTTCCTGAAGGCTCTAGGTTAAGACTAGAATAAAATGGTCCAATACATAAAGCCACTACAACTAAATTTTGTGGATGTCCCAAATAAATGACCGATGTCTTTTTTACTCATGTGAAATTTGCTTTTGATTGTATTTCTATGTTATTATGTATACCTTAATGTACATGCGAATTAGTAAAAGATATTTTTAAGTTTAACAGTGTTTTAAAGCTGTAACTGTGTTTCAATGTCTGAAAATAAAAATATATTATCTACAAAAATAAAATGGGTGGAGTCTGTTGTGCTGCTGTTTGGAAACCTGAAATGAATGAACCTGCAGCCGCACCTGCCCTGTGAAGACCCAGTTAAATAACACTCGTCTATCACATACTGTAAATGAGGTACATTCAGACATATCCAATAATATCTTTGCATATAATCGGTTGTCTATTCCCGGACTTCATCAAATCAGAAAAGTGGTAGAAGCCGGTGTCCACTTCGTGAATATTTGACAAGGACTGGTGGAAAAACGCCGTCCTGCTTGGCAACGCCGCGACCGGACAGGACATACGCTTGCTTGCGTTCGCCGTTCTGCTTGCCCTCTCAGCCTCTGGCCTCATTTTCACCCTGTCCTCCACGCTTTTGGAAAACCCTGAGAGCTTCTTCCGCATGTTGACGAAGAAGCCTTTCCCGGTCCTTCTCTGCGCGGGCTTCACCTCCGCCGATTCGGGACACTCGGGCAAATCCATCCAGTTCTGAATCAAGTCCGCGAAACTGTTATCTCCCAGGACCAGGGGCTGTCTGTTTCGCCCGCGAGTTAGCAAAGAGTTCGTCCAGTCTTCCGTCAGACCAAGCCAACTCTCCAGACAAACATCAGACGTGGATTTGGGGCGTATGCGACCGCTGGAAGCTCTGTTGGTGCGCAGACAAGCCGACGAAGACACTCGGACATTTCTTGTACGCCTCAGTACCACGGGCTCCTCTTGCCAAGACGCTTCCGAGTATCCCGAGTCCAAGTCTAAGCTGCGGTGGCTCGTCGGCGTGCTCAGATCGAGACTCAAGCGATGGCTGTAGCGTCCGTCTTGATCCTCTTCCTCCTCCAGCGGACTGGCCAAGCAACACGCCGAGTCGTAGGTGCTGGAGCTAGCGTCAGACATGCGCATCCGGGCTCGCTGCTCCCGCTGGAGGGCCCTTTGCTGGCAAGTGCGGGCCAATGCGGAGTGGCGGGTCAGGGCGGGGAGCTGAGCGCTGGAGATTTGGGAGAGCGGGCGCCTCGGGGTCTCGGCACAGGTTCTGCGCAGGTGTTTGAGGTCCTGGAGGGAGCGCATCATGTACTGGACCTGCTCTCTGAGGCAGTCGCTGGAGTCACGCAGGCAAAGCTGAGGAGAGAGGAGACAAGATGAGTGAAACAGAACTACGATATTAAACTACATGTAATCCAGAGAGAGTAATATTTGTTGCTTTAGGCTTTAAGGCTCCTAAAGTCAAAGTGCAGACTCTGATCGCCGTCAATCTGACAAATGGGTCTTACGTTAACACCGCTACAAGTATGTGCTACTCATGACCTAATTATAAATAGATTCATCACAAATGATGGAATACATATTTCCTGATGATTCATCAATAATCATTGGCAAATAATGATTCTATCATCAGTAATTAAGGTGTAAATACTCATAATAAGTAGTTGATGATAATTTAACCTAATAATCTATGGATTATTAGGTTACCATGTGAAATTCACTGAGTAGCACATGTTTGCATCTGTCTTTACGTATGAATATTCAACATTTATTAAGGAAATAATTCTCTAAATGAGAATTTACGGATTTGTTCTCTAGTAATTCATAATTTCATAAACAATTACACTTGTTAATGAGTTGGTAGTATGAAGCTGACTATTTGTAAATGTATAAAAGACATGTGTTGATGTGTGAGTCTGTAATATTATGATAAAGTGTAACAAATGTCTGTGGTGTGAAAGTTAGGTACTTGAGCTTTAACGCTCACATTGACTCGTGTGGAAATGTACTCTGTGTTTCCAAATTGGTTAATGACGACTAATAAGTGTGTGTAACATGTGAGTAAATAAGTGCGGCCGGCCGGGCATGTGGAGGCTTGTGGAGCGATCAGAGCGGAGCAACAATGATTTTACATTAGGAAAACAAAACGTGACAACTGTGTGAACGCCCTGTGAGTGGACCAGTAAGAGAGACACATCTGGTACTTAGAACCAGTGATATGGAATAACACCAGAATCCTACGGAATCTAAGGAAATCAGATAAATTATTCACCATTTCTTATGTTAAAAGTATGTTGGGATTTCAAACTGAATCGACTTTGAGAACCAGAACTAGAACCAGTCCAGAACCAAAACTAGACCAGTCCAGAACCAGAACTAGACCAGTCCAGGACCAGAACCTGTCCAGGACAAGATCTAGAACCAGTTCAGAACCAGCACCAGTCCAGGACCAGAACCTTGGACATAGAATATTGGTTGCAAAGATACTGAAAATGTTACAATCTTATGAATGAGTTAAAAGGTTAACTGTTTCAAAAATAAAAGATAATTTCATAAAAACTACTGAAATAGAAATAAACTACATATAAAGCAGAAATCAAAGTTTTATGCTCTGGGAGTTCAAGTGTTAAAAAAGTGGTGAAATAAGTTTGTTGGCTGCTTTAAGAAATATAAATCCTCCGGTGACAGAGTAAAGGCCGGTGCTGCAGCTGCGTCCTGTGATTGGTCAGGATTAGAGTTCAAACTATAACAAGATCATGTGACTGTCTGCTCCAGGAGAGGTGTGCGTGTGTCTGTGTGTGTGTGTGTGTGTCTGTGTGTGTGTGCGTGTGTCTTTCATATGTCACTGTGCAATACTAACAGCTGTAGAAGATAGAAACTGAAAAATTACAGAGCAGCTTAGACAGCTCCAAAAACATTATTGTGTTTCTATAAAACCTTTTTCTTTAACAGAGACTAAATACCCCATGTTTTTCACTCACAAAGTTCCATTCTCATAAGTCACTATGTTATCAGCAAATAGACTGATGACAGATATAGTTGTGTAATTTCAGAAAGTACACCACCAGTGCTGAGAACTTACCATGTCAAGATCTGTCCCTTTCATTTGTACAGTAAGATTCCAATCCTACAAAAATGAACAAAAAATATATTTAATTTAGCAAAACACAAAAAAGGTAATTAGGCTAAATGTATCTCATATCGTAATGTATTTAGAACTAGATCGGACAATTTGAGAATTAACACAATATTGACAATACATAACCAGATTCAGCTTCAGTCCTGGATCTACAACCTCAGTCCTGGATCTACAGCCTCAGTCCTGGATCTACAGCCTCAGTCCTGGATCTACAGCCTCAGTCCTGGTTCTACAGCCTCTGTCCTGGTTCTACAGCCTCTGTCCTGGTTCTACAGCCTCTGTCCTGGATCTACAGCCTCAGTCCTGGATCTACAGCCTCAGTCTTGGATCTACAGCCTCAGTCCTGGATCTACAGCCTCTGTCCTGGATCTACAGCCTCAGTCCTGGATCTACAGCCTCTGTCCTGGATCTACAGCCTCTGTCCTGGATCTGCAGCCTCAGTCCTGGATCTGCAGCCTCAGTCCTGGGTCTACATCCTCAGTCCCGGGTCCACAGTCTTACTCCTTATACTATAGCTCCGTATTTCCACAACGTTGAGAACTCCTCTGAAACAACTGCTGCTGTGATTTAGGGTTGTACACCAATGCATTGAATTTAACATTTGCTTCCAATATAGTCAGACCTATTCGTGATCGAGGCTATTTGAGCTAAAAGACTACATGCAAGCCCTGCGCTATGACAATTACACAGTTTTAAAGCTGGAAAAAAGTTCAGAAATAAGATACTCACGTGTATTTCTTAAAGTCTTGGAGGAAAAAATCTTGCCCGATCCCATGTAAGTCAGCGCGCACGGGTCCAGGCGCGCTCCGTGTGGATCGGATGTAGAGAATACTGAGAATACTGCCACTTCTAAAACACTTCTGCTGAGTTTACCCTGTCCTCCCTGGCTTTATACTCCTAACGCACGGAGCCAGCAGCCAATCAGAGCGCGCCGAGCAGGACCCGTGCGCGCCGTCTGCCTCTGGGGTGAATATATGCGCACACACACAAAAAAGAGAGAGAGAGGAGGACAAAAGACAAGAGAGGCAGAAGTGAGTGGAGTGAATGAAGATGGATGAGATTAGATATGAGCTGGATCAGTGATAACCTCCGCTGGTGTGAGGGGATCATCCACGCCTGATGAATGGGGAGGGCATCAGGCTCATTCATTATTATAAGCTCTGGAGACAGTGAAGAGCTGCTGTCTGGGGGCCGAGGAGGCGGTGTGTCTAAGTCATCACCGAAAAAATGAACAGATGTGATTATTGTCAGGTTTTCTCTCCATATTCTATCCATCCAGCTGTTTAAACATCAAATTTAAACGTCTGTTATTGTTAGTGTGTGACATAAGCTGTGGAGAAGATACAGCAGACGCTCCAAATTCTTGTTCCCACAGAATGAAATGACAATGCAAACCTGGTAGCGTAATGAAGCCCGATAGAAAAGTGCTCGTGGACAGAGTTTATGCTCCAGCTCACTCCCATTGACTTACATGTAAAAAGTAAAAGTACGTTCAAAACCTTTGTGTTTGAACGCCTTGTGTGACACCGAAAGTTCTCTCTGTGATCCTGGTATTTATGTTGTGATATTGTCTGTTTAATTTCAGATATTCAGATATAATCAAGATAAGGAGTGACCAATCAGACGCCTTCATTCACTTGAAAATGCAAGTCCTCTATTGTATGCGTTCTGTATGACTTAAAATTGGGAACACTACCTAAAATCAACTAAAAAGCTAAATTGAAATAAAATTAACTCTTGGCTTTTTTATCTATCACTAGTTTGACATCAAAAGATAAGAAATCCTTTATCTGTCCCACTGTGGGGACATTTCAATGTTGCAGCGCACATACAGGACAGTAGTAAGAGCACACAGGGAGCTCACAACATATACAGTAAGTAGTCGCTGTGTTTCTTTGCTAGCTGTAAATTCTTCACTATAAATCTTTCAAAAATATCTCCATATATGTAGTGCAAAGTTATATAGGGCAGGGTATTTTTTTTGTAGAAAGAGCAACATTCAGTGGACATTCTGAAATTGAATTAGTGCACATTGTACTGATTGCAGTATTTTCTTATTTACAGATGAAAGACATGTGCAGGCTCAGCAGTTTTCATCTACATTTCATTTCAGCTTTTTCAGACAGAAAAGTGACAAAGAGAGGACCACCCACACTCAGCTACTCAACTCTCAGCCCAAAGAGTCAAATATTGATTCACAAGGCTGCTTCTTACATGCAGATGTAAGGTATGGCAACTTTATTTGTATGGCACAGTTCATACAGTTGTGTTTTATTGTACTGAGTGAGAGGTGCTCTGTTATTGTCAACCTTAAGTACGTAAGTAGTAACTTTTATTTATAGAGCGCTCCTCACAGAGATGGGATCTGCTTCACCAGTAATTTTAATCGGTAAATGATTTCAATCACATCAGTGGCTTTCTCAGTTAAAAAAATATTTCCGAATCAAAAATATGATGTCTAAAGCAAACTTATCCTGATTTTTATCTCCAGTAAATAAAAAATAAATGTGCACTTTAATTTGTGCCTTTGTGAGTGACGAAAACCAGGAAGTCCTCTCACATTAGTCCTGGTCTCAGGTCTCTGCACCGGCAACTCAAGGGGCTGAACAAAACATAACAAGAATCAATCACAAAAGGAGTTACAACCATAAATAATCACAGTATATTAAAAAGAGCAAAGATACAGTTGTCTGGGTTAGTCCTGACTCTGGACTAAACATGGAGAGGCAGCCAGTCCCTGTGCTCCTCTGAGCCACAAGAAGCCAGTGCAGGGACCTGAGAACTGGACTGATGTGATGGTACTTCCTGGTTCAGGACAAGAGCTGCAGTGTTTTTTAATTTACTGCAGCTGTTTAACCTACTGGAGACAAATGCAGGTATATAGGAGGATTTTCTACATCCGGGTGGATCATCAAGACTATTGGTCCTCCCAACTGTCAATCATTCTGGTGATACATACTTGTCAAATAGTATGACCAGAGAGTTTTTTACAAAAATGGGGAGGGAGGTTCTTTCCGAAAATTAGGGAAAATCCTCCTAAATACTGTGAGATTTCATAACACTTTTAAGCAACTTTTGTTAAAGTTAACCTCATCATTCTATCAATGTGCAGAAGCCTGTACTTTTCCCTTGTTTTGTCTATCTGAAGGCCAAGCTACATGGCACCGTGGCAGCTGCTGATTGGAGGTCTCCATGCCTCCGCTCTGTATAATACACTTGCATTCTGTTGTTTGTGTTGTTCGTGCTGTCTCTACCATCGACAATAAAACATGTCTTCTGTCTGAATTTAAGACACGATCCCAGACTTGGCACATCTTCTTCAGGTGGTGGAGGATGCGGGCATTGTCTGTAACATCTACAGAACAGAAGACTTTTTTTTTTTTTTCAAGCCAAAACTGAGAAACCTCAAGAGAAACCATGCATCTGGACCAGCAGACATGGACAATCTGCACAGCCCCTGATTCCACTCAGGCTGTGAGCTGCTGAGACATGGACAATACCATTGTCCTCTTTTGCATGGACATAATTTGGAACAATTGGATTACACAATTTGGACATAATTTGGACTGAATTGAATGGCTGAATCTGGACACTAAAGCTGAAACGTGTGATTTGAAGGACACGTCACAGAAGAATTTACGGCTTGACACAAATGCAACCTGAAGAAACCAACACGGAGAAGTGGGAGAGACTGTTTTCAAAGCAATATCTGGAACCACCGTCGACTGATGAAGTTTGGTATTTTACTGAAGATTGTTGACAAGTTTTATGAAAGATCTGAAAATGTTTTATGAGTTTTATGAGTTTTTGAAGTATTCCGAGTTATGAGTTTTTTGATGTACCGAGTGAAGTACCGAGTTTATGAGTTTTTGAAGTATTGAGGAATGATGTTATGTTGCTGTTTATCGATCCTGATGGTCACACGTGAATGTGTGACCAGAGGGGGGAATGTGAGATTTCATAACACTTTGAAGCAACTTTTGTTAAAGTTAAACTCATCATTCTATCAATGTGCAGAAGCCTGTACTTTTCCCTTGTTTTGTCTATCTGAAGGCCAAGCTACAAGCACACTTTGGAAGCTGCTGATTGGAGGTCTCCATTTCTCCGCTCTGTATAATACACTTGCATTCTGTTGTTCGTGTTGTTCGTGCTGTCTCTACCATCGACAATAAAACATGTCTTCTGTCTGAATTTAAGACACGATCCCAGACTTGGCTCATCTTCTTCAATACCTTTAAGATACAATATTTTTTATTCTGGTAATGTTTTTTCAGATGGTAAAAAGCTGCAGATAATACTGATTCGGTGTGACAGTTCAAATGTAAGTCTGAGTCCATTATTACTCCTAGATAACAGACCTGATTTGAGGATGTTAGGGACAGAGACTGGAGAAGACAGACCACATTTCTGGGATCAAAGACAATCATTTCAGTTTTGTTTCTGTTTCTGATTTCATCTGGAGAAATCCTAAAGCATAGGTTTGGACATGTCGACAGAACTCCTCCGTGTTAATGTTATGGCATCTGCACATGAACCAACAGCAGAGCGGCGGCAATACAAGAACAAATCACCAAAACAAATGTCCCTTTTGTCTAAAGCTGGTCTGATTGTGGCCGACGCCCGCTGACCTGCTCCGGACCAGGCCTCACAAAAGCCCTGGCTCCAGGTCGATCGCAGTCACCTCCAAACGACTGGATTCAAGCGGACGTTACATTTACAATTACATGAAAGGCCTCATGAATGAAGACTAGCTTTAGCGGCTGCAGAATGTGGGAAATGAGAGAGCTTGAAGAGGCCATTGTAACACCACAACATTGTGACATTCAGTGTATTGAATGAGGATGATTGTGTTTTATTGTACTGAGTGAGAGGTGCTCTGTCATTGTCAGCCTTAAGTAAGAAAGTAGTAACTTTTATTCATAGAGCGCTCCTCACAGAGATGGACTCTGCTTCACAAGTAATTTTAA